TGACTGTCCTGAACTGGTGTCACTTAACCCCCTCAAAGTAATGCGTTAACTTTGACAGGTCACATGCTTGGTATGTGACAGAAAAGGATGAAAATACCCCTCAATTTGTTACAAATTATCCCATTTATACTCTTTTATCCTTTGTTCCAAATTTTGAGGGGTTTATATATTTAAAAAGGGCATTTTGGTCATTTTACAATCACCAGGTAACAATGTCAGGGGGGTATGTTGAAAAAACTTAAAAGACTTGAAAGGGGTTAAGTGAGACACTCCAATATTCGGGGGAGTTAAATGGAATAAACAAAGTTCATGGGGTTGCATGCAAAGCTCCCCAAAGTTCACGGGGGTTAAGTGAAATTTACCCTTATTTTCCTTATATTGTTTCCTCGGGTTTTAGCGCTATACAGTAAGTAGAATGATTAAGCTCGGTTAAGAAATGCCATTATTGAGCATTAAGTTGAAAGCAGTGTCATCAAAATTGGCAAATCATCACTCTATTAGCTCTTCCTGTAAGTGGTTGCAGTACGACTATGTATTGTTTCACTCTGTTCATGGATGATTATGTGATGAATAATTACTGTTAACACCTGAATTAATTTGATGTAGGTTAAGACTATTAGCTGAATCCAAAGGTTATAGACTTGATGATACAGGTCTATTTCTGGCTACTACGAGCACTTCTACGAAGCGGGTAATTTTATGTTCTCGCTTACCTGCATAAGCTTGTGATCTCGTATATATTCACTGACTAGTTAACAACTTTTCAGGGAACCAAGTCGAGCACAAGCTTGAACCTTAGAACAGAGAAGGAAGTATTCGATTTTCTTGGATTCCCTTGGCTAGAACCCCATGAAAGGAATTTGTGATGCCGAAGTCTTACCACTGTTGTATTTAACAGAACGAGAAAACGGTGCACTAACAAAATTTTTTTGCTACATTTGTGTGGATTGTACACTTCATGTACAGTCCCTTAGATGAGTTTGTATATACTGATGACTTCGTAATAGAGCAACAGTATTTTGGGCGGTGAAGGGTGCTTGAAGCGCCTGCAAAGTATCTTATAGTTTTGATGAACAGCAAAAATATTGACTCTTTGTTCTCTTGAGAAAAACAGATTACTCTTTACCATAATGCCCGGTACGGTGTTTGTTCTCAGTATAGATCCTGAAAGCGAGGATTTTGAATATTACTCGAATTAAAGCCTATCGCTTATAACATTTTAGGATGTTTGTTACGTTCTTTCCGTGTTTGAACTCAGGTTTCTAGGTTAAAAAAAATTTGGCTAGATAATTGATAAAATTTCGTTCATCATTCTCAACCAGGCAGAAGTCCATATTAAGTCCTAACCGAGAATATTTAACTGTTCTACGTCAAGCTGCGACGTGAGGCCAATAAGTCATTCTCATATATTTGCAAGTAGTCAGCAGTCTGGTAAAATTTTCATATATTTGCAGGTGATCAGATGATATATCATTATATCTGCAGGAAAAAGGTCCCAATATTGCGTGAGATAAAGGGAAAATTTGCAATATAGACCGTTTTTGGAAAATAATTAGCGAAATAGACCGTATTTTGGAGTAATTAGCAAAATAGACCGTTTTTTAGCAAAAGAGGTCGATTTTGAAAAAGGTTCAGAAAACATACGGGACTACTAGTCCCGTATGTTTAATTTCATGATTAGTGCACTCAGAAAATACATTGCTTGTCATAAATGACAAAGTTGAGGAATTGGCATGTACCTATCCTATTTTATTGAACGAAAACTTTACCTCTCACCGCATTTCACTAATATACAATAAAACTCATCTTATTTAGGATCTTTCGAGTTCAACTATTTCGATTTGTTCATGACAAAACGAAACATTGTAAGCATTGTTTCTCTTGGCGGCAAACAATCATTTATAACTGGTAAGCTCGAGAAATTAACTACCCATGCAGAAAGGAAAGGATGCCTCTCTTCATCTATAATCTTCATTTCGATAATTTCCTCTAATATGCCCACCATAGTTGCTAACCAACCAAGAGATATATCAGCATATCCAATTGTCTCTCCTCCAAAGAATTTCCTCCCATTAAGCTCCTCCTCTAATATTTTCAGGTTTTCTCTGGCTACGACT